TCTCACGTAATCAAATTTTAGATAACTGTTGTTATAAAAAAAATTAGATTACTGTTTGACTTTGTCAAATTATATTTATATTCAGTAGCTGTTGTGATTTAAATCCAATATCACTAACAGTTTACTTTGTATTGTGCTCATCCCTATTTTAAGTTCCAACCGAATAATCCCATCCAAAGGTAGTGGTCTTTGTGATTTGGAAAATGATTTCTACAGTAAAACGTATACCGTTTTGCTCAGTCCTTTTTTTTACTTTTTATGCTTCAAGAAGATGAGAACATTATAATACGTGTAATCTTTGGCAAGAACCCGTTACAGGGGAAAAGCAACGTATGAAGAAAAAACAGAATCTTTACTGAGTTTAAAGATCATCTCGTCGTCACTCCAAATAGAATGTTTCGGCAACTTGAAGAAATTATGGATGATTTTGAGAAAAAGAAGAACGTGATTGATCGAGCAAAATCAAGTTTTGTGAGATGTTGAAATGTGAAATCACTATCATAAATATATCTCTATCTGTGTGTGGGTGAACATGATTTGATCGAGCAAAATTAAGTTCTAAGTTTTAGTGGGATGTTAGAAATGTAAATTCACTTTCATAAATATATTTCTCTTTCTGTCTAAAAATGATGTCTGTAAGCAACCTAGAGGCATAAAAATCTAATATGAGCTAGAAACATATAGCTCCTAGAAGAATTTAAGTGAGAAAAGGTTACCTACAAATGGTAATTTCTTGACCTCCAATTCATGGATATTTCTAGAAGAGGCTCTATAAGAGCATTTAAAGTATCTAGTGTAAGTGCTTGTTTGAATTGCAAGAGAGATGATAGACTTGTATAGAAAATCTACTGGGTTCCTATAATAACCCTGGGTCCTTAAAGATTAAAGAGTTGTTAAGATGAAAAGGTAAAGGGAATATTAAATGCACAAGGGAAGCGACTTTGTTGATCATAAATATTTGATAATATTCAGGCGATTCTGATCCATTTCTAAATTAATATTATGGACAAAAGTTTGAATTAGACATATTCCCAAAAAAATATCAAAATGGACCTCGTTTCAAAATATTTATCAAAAGACACCTAGTTTTGGCCATGTTGGTTTCAACCCGGTCGATTTTGATAAATATTTTGGGAACTAGGTCAATTTTGGAAAAAAAATGTTGTAAACTCTACGGGATTAGGAATTCCAGAGAGTTAAACACACAATTTAACGTCACGTAATCATCAATTCCATGGAGTTTGGAAACTTTATTTAATAAAATCGAATTAGTTTTGCTAACGTGGCTGAAACTAGATTGATTTTGATAAATATTCTACAAATAGGTTGAATTTAATAATTTTGTTTATGGAAAGGTCTATTTCAAAAATTTGTCCTAATATTATGGTTTGATATACACTTATTTCTAGAGGTACATGTATGTGTATTTTTTGTTCTTTCAGTTTTGTAAAAGTTTTTGTATTTATATTGGATTGCGTGTATGCCTTTGCAACAAAGTATTTAAAAGAGTGACAATCATATGATCCAAAAATTGATAAACTACTAAAGAAAAAAAAAGTAGAATATATTAATTCAAATTGCAACTCACGGGGACATACTACAACATTAAACTCCATTTATTACACTTCCATTGTCACGCCCCGAAACTGCAACGGAAATTTGTAAATGTTGGTTACGTGACAGCAGCAACCCGTGCACGAGACAATTATTATGCACGGGTCAAGCCTGACACTTCATATCACATAGTTTATTATAAAATATTCATAAACCTGCTGATGATAGAAGTCAGAGCAACTATATATATGTATATAATCGGTACTTACAGCCCACAAGCTCACCGTTATAAGCATTTTTACAAAACAAAACAAATTGTGCAGAAGGTAACATCAAAAAGAAGAGGCTCTCCATATAACGCCTCTCAGCCAAAAGCTCAAACCAAAAGTTCGGCTAGTATGAAGTTACGTCGGATCTGAAAAAGAAATTTAAAAACAACGGGGTGAGCTAGCGTTCAGGGAGAACATTTCCCACTAGAGTTTCTAGATAACTAACATAATAGTAATAAGAATAACTCAGAAATAACGAATTATAAGTTTTGCATGAGAAATTCAAAGATAGCAAAATACGATCCAAATATCATAATATTGTCGTCTTTAAGAAAGAATGCAACGATTATATTTTCTTTCTTATGTGTAACTGAATATACTGTGAAGTTTCTTGAAATCAAACCCTTTTTGAATCAAGGTAAACATTAAGACGGAAAAAAACTATTAATTTTTACAAACCAGAGAATTATTGTTTTCTTAATTTTACAGTCAATTATCAATTTCTTAATTCTCGATGAGTTATTCATGAATGTAAAAGTCACCTTAAAGGTCACACTAAGGTTACGAATTATAGTCCAGTAGTAAGGGAATGCGTAAAACACATTACATAACAGATAATTCTCAAGAATCGAATGCACCTAACACTGTCATAGGTTACTGGTCAAATGCAGAGGGGCCAGAACAAATTTCAGAAGGGCCAATACAGAAGGGCCAATGCAGAGGGGCCAAATAAATGTGCATTCACCATATGATAGCCAGAAACAATCCATAGTGGACTATTTGAGGGTTTGAAAACATCGAGATCACATGTCAAATGAGTAATACTTTGCATATCAGAATTTACAGATATTTTCAAATGAAGTTGACAAGGTAAAGCTCCTCATTTCAGTTAAAACGGTTTACGGATTTTTACTCTTTCCTTTATTAGATACTAAGTCACGGAAAATTTTTAAATCCGTTAAACTTGTTGAAATACGTTCCAAATACTTCATCAAAAACTTTCAGATAAAACAATGCCCATAATTATTTAAAAATTGCATGAGAGCCAAATTTATTTTTCATATTTTACATAAAAATTAAATTTGCTTTTCATATGTTGTACGAGGCTAACATCTTATCATAGACCATAACAGAAATATGTCAAATCTTTATATACATGAAAATGACATATTATTTATTTTTTGATCACAAGATAAATCAAATATAATACTCATGCAATTTCATATTATAAAATACTAGTGAGAAATGATCAAATATAATACTCATGCAATTTCATATTATAAAATACTAGTGAGAAATGAACTCACCTCTAGTGGTCACGACTTTCTCTCATATTATAAAATACTAGTGAGAAATGAACTCACCTCTAGTGGTCACGACTTTCTCAAACTATTATTCTTCTGAATATCAACCAGAACCTATAATGTAAGATATAAACTAATATTAATTATAGGTAAATCAATTCATAATTTAGAGCCAAATAAATTCAAATAAAATCAATAATAAATAAAATCTACAAATAGGTTCCTTGTAGGCCACTTTTCTAATCTTAACAATTTACCCATCTTAATTTCTAATTAAGTCTGAATTCTCCGGGTTTGGTTGTAGTTTATTGAACAACAGGGTCCTCATGAATATTTTCATTCTTCTTTTTTCTTATGTTTGGACTCATATGCAAATTAAAAATCCTTTAGGGGTCCCAAAACAATTTGGCTATTTAATTAATTCTTTTCCCCTCTTTCTCCCTCATCTATCCTTTCTTCTTCCCATTTCCTCATTTTCATTTCATTTCATTTTTTTCGGTTCTCTCCCTCTCCCTCTCTCTCTTTTTTTCTCGTCGTCGGCTACCCGACAACTTGGCGCGACTACTCAACTTCCGGCGCCGGACCATCCTCCTGAGGGCTAATCTTCCCCGGCGCCGGCGGTGAGGTTTGAGCTCTTCTCTTTTTTCTTTCTTTTTTTTTCTAGTTTGTTTCATGCATCTTAAACACATAAAAAAATCATTTGCAAACCCTAGATTTTTAACTTCGTATTCATAACAAGTTAACTTCCTTACTCATTCTATTTTGATTCGATTTACTAAGATTTACTATGAAATTTGAAAGGAGATTATACCTTGGGATCCTTATTTGGTTGTTACGATCTGCTTTTCTCCCTTCACAAGCTTTCTATTGATGCAAAGAGTTTTGTTAAGGATGAGAAGGTGTTTTCCATTATTTTTTTCCTTGTTTTTTTCCTTTCTGTGGGTTTTCTTTGATTTCTTTGTTTTATTCCTCCGTTAAGGAGGTGCCGACCAATTCGTCGAATGGATTTTAGCCACTAAACGCTAATGTGGCAGATAATCAAGAGTTAGGGGTGAAATCCCCAAAAAACCCTTAATTAGATTATTAATCTGTAATTAAAAAAATTCTTCATTAATCAAGTTTTAAGGCACTAATTACTTAGGCTACTACACTCTTCCCTCCTAATAAAAAATTTCGTCCTTGAAACTTAACATACCTATATCTCGAAAGAGCTCTTGATATCTCTTTCGCATAGAATCTTCAGTCTCCTAAGTAGCTTCTCTTTCAGAGTGAGTTTTCCACTGAACTTTTACATATTTGATTATTCGGTGTGTAAGTACTTGTTCTTTATAATCCACAATACGTTCTGATCTTTCCTCATAGGTCAAATCTGGCTTGAGCTCCACTGGAGACAACTCAACGATCTCATTTGGATCTCGCCTCATAGGTCAAATCTGGCTTGAGCTCCACTGGAGACAACTCAACGATCTCATTTGGATCTCGGATGAACTTCCGAAGCATCGATATGTGAACGATCTCATTTGGATCTCGGATGAACTTCCGAAGCATCGATATGTGAAATACATCGTGTACTCTAGACATGGATGGTAGTAATGCTAATCTGTACGTCATTGTACCAATGCATTCCAGAATTTTAAAAGGATCGATAAATCTCGGGCTTAACTTCCCTTGAATTTCGAATCTTTTCACTCCTCGGGTAGGCAAAACCTTCAAGAAAACATGATCGCCCACCTGGAATTCCAATTCTCTTCTTCTTTGGTCAGCATAACTCTTTTGACGACTTTGTGCTGTGCGAAGACTTTATCGAACTAATTTGATTTTATCAATTGCTTGTTGTACCAATTCTAGTCCAAGAAGTTTCCTTTCTCCAACATCATCCCAATAAATAGGAGACCTGCACTTCCTTCCATAAAGAAGTTCATATGGTGTCATCTGAATGCTAACTTGGTAGCTGTTATTGTATGCAAACTCGGCCAAAGGCAGATAATCTTCCCACGACCCTTTCAGTTACAGTACACAACATCTTAACATATCTTCCAGTGTTTGAATTGTCCGTTCTGATTGGCCATCTGTCTGTGGATGATAAGCGGAGCTGAAGTTTAGTTTAGTCTGCAGAGCTTTATTCACATTTTTCCAGTATTCTGATGTGAACCAAGTATCTCGGTCAGAAACGATTGATATTGGTACACCATGTAATCTCACTATCTCATTAATGTATATTTTAGTCAGTTTATCTAATGAGAATTTCATATTGATAGGTAAAAAGTGTGCTGACTTTGTTAACCGGTCCACAATTTCCCATATTGCATCATTATTTCTCAAAGATTTCGAAATGCCAGTGACAAAATCCATGGTGATCTTTTCTCATTTCCACATTGGTATGTCCAAGTTATGGACTAATCCAGCTGGTCTTTGATGCTCAGCCTTTACTTGTTGGCAAGTGAAACATTCTGCAACATAGGTGGTAATTTTCTTCTTCATATTATTCCATCAATATATTTGTTTCAAGTCTTTATACATTTTTGTTGATCCAGGATTGCATAGTATACAAAAAGTGGTGTGTTTCCTTTAGAATCTTTTTCTTTATCTCTGGTATGTTAGGCACACAAACTCTAGTTCCAAACTTAAATGATCCATCTTTTATGTATCTTAAATTCTCTTCGAGTGCCTTCTTCCACATCTTTCTTTATCTTTAACAATTGAGGATCATTCGGCTGGTTTGCTTTAACTTCATCTAGCAAAGAAGGTTGTATTATCATATTTGCTAATTTAACTCTAATTTGGCGGACTCTAATTTCAATTCCAGTACGATCTAAGTCTTCTAATATTTTTCTTTAAGAAGTAATTAGGCAAGCTAAATTGCATGAATTCTTGCAGCTCAAGGCATCAGCAACAACATTTGTCTTGCCAGTGTGATAATTGATAGTCATATCATAATCTTTCATAAGCTCCAACCATCTTCTTTGTCGTAGATTCAACTCCTTCTGGGTAAATATATATTTCAAACTCTTGTGGTCAGTATATATTTCACAATGTACTCCATATAAATAATATCTCTAAATTTTAAGAGCAGACACTACTCCCGCTAACTCAAGATCATGAGTGGGATAGTTTTGTTCATAAGGCTTTAATTGCCTTGAAGTATATGCTATGACTTTTCCATTTTGCATAAGTACACATCCCAATCCTCTTCTAGAGGCATCACTATAGATAGCAAAGCATGTGTCCCCATTGGGTAATGCAAGTATTGGAGCAGACATTAATCGACTTTTTAACTCTTGAAAGTTTTTCTCACATTCTTCTGACCAAATAAATTTAACTCCTTTCTGAATAAGACAAGTTAGAGGTGAAACAATACATGAGAACCCTTCCACAAATTTTCTATAGTAGCCAACCATACCAAGAAAGCTACGGATCTCCGACACAGTAGTCAGGTCTGTCCCATTTAACAATAGATTTTACTTTTTCAGGGTCCACAGAAATCCCTTCCTTAGAGATGACATGCCAAAGAAATGCTACTTCCTCCAACCAAAATTCACATTTCTTAAGTTTCGCATACAGTTGTTCTCTCTTTAATGTGTGCAATACCTGTCTCAATTGTTCTTCATGTTCTTCCTTACTCTTTGAGTATATCAGAATATCGTCAATAAATATCATAACAAACCGATCCAAGAAAGGTTTAAATATCATGTTCATAAGATCCATAAATGCTGCAGGTGCATTTGTGAGCCCGGATGATAAAACTAAAAATTCATAATGACCATAGTGGGTTCGAAATGCAGTTTTTGGCACATCTTCTGACTTGATTTTTAATTGATAGTAACCAGATTTGAGATCAATTTTGGAAAATACTTGAGCTCCTTGCAGTTGATCAAATAGATCATCAATTCTTGGTAATGGATACTTGTTCCGAATGGTTACCTTATTCAATTCACGGAAGTCAATACACAATCTCATACTTCCATCTTTTTTCTTTACAAAAAACACTGGTGCACCCCATGGTAACACACTCGGCCGAATGAAGCCTTTATCTAAAAGTTTTTGCAGTTGTACCTTGAGTTCTCTCAATTCAGCAGGTGCTATTCGATAAGGAGCCTTAGAAATAGGACTCGTACCAGGTACTAGGCCAATTGAAAATTCAATCTCACTATCTGGGGGCAATCCTGGAAGTTCATCTGGGGATATCTCTAGAAATTCTCGGACAATTGGTATTTCTTTCCAGCTTGGTTTTCCATCATCAACCATCTCAACTGAAGCCAAATAACCCATACATCCACTCCTCAGTGCTCAATGTGCTTTAAGGGCTGAGATGATTTTTAAGGGTTCTTGAGACTTACCACCCTCAAAATAAAATTCGGGTTGGTCAGGAAATCTAAATACTATTTTCTTTTCTCGACATAAATAGAAGCATGATTTAAGGATAACCAATCCATCCCCAATATGATATCGAAATCATGCATTTCTAGCATCATTAGTTCTATGGGGAGTTCCTTGTCAAGAATATAAATTTTACCCCTACAACCTTGATTTGATATTAATATGCTACCCCCAGGTGTACTAACAAGCAATTCTTGTTGTAGGGTATCACATGGTAATTTGTTTCTCTTAACAAACTGTGCAGCAATTTAGGAATGCGATGCACCAGAATCAAACAGTACTCAAGCATGAACCGACACAAAAATTATCGTACCTGTCACCACATCTTTCTTTGCTTTTGTTTCCTTCTCAGTCAGAGAATAAACTCGTGCCTTAGCTTGAGGATGCTTGTTCCCACCACTGGACTGGCCAGGCTGGAAGGTATTCCGAGATGATTGTTGTAAGGGACAATTTGTTATTTTGTGATCTTTCTGACAACATCTCAAGCAAGCTCCAGTATTTCTCCAACAGTTTTTCGCTTCATGCCCAGGTTTATGACAAACATCACATCTCAAAGTTTTTTGGTTAGGAAATTGATCCTCTCTGCGTCCAAAATTCTGCTTTTTGTTTCTCTAATTTTTATTTCTTCCACCGTAATTATCTTTTCAGAACCGCTTCTTTGGGTAGGAGCTGCTCGTCTCATTCTTTGGTTTTGTATCAATTTCATTTTTCTTAATTAACAAGGCCTTCTGTAATACTTCTCCATATGTAGGAAGTTCAAATGCACTGACCACCTTCCGGATATCCGGTCGAAGCCCTTCTTTAAAGCGACGAGCTCTATCCTCCTCTTTACCCAACAAGTGAGTAGCAAATTTTGATAAATAAGTAAACTCTTCTTCATATTCAGCTACTGTCTTGTCACATTGCTCCAATTTTCGAAACTCTTGTTCTTTTTGTTTGCGAACAGTTGAAGGAAAATACTTTTCATAAAAAAATCTTTTTAAACTCCTCCCATGATATCTTGTATGCATTCTCACCGAAGGTCCTGACCTGTATTTGCCACCACCCGTAAGCACATTCTTTTAACATGTATACTGCATAATCAACCTTCTCCTCTTCAGGGCATCTCATGTATGTGAAAACCTTTTCTATTTCTGTGATCCAATACTCAGCAATCATAGGATCAGTTTTTCACTCAAAACTGGGTGGAGATAGTTTCTTGAATTCTCTCATGCCACTTCTTAATTTTGAGTGCTCCTCGTTTTGACCATTCGTCCGATTGCGATCAATTTGATCTTGTTGTCTGGTGACTACAGATGTCACCGCTTGCAGCAGATCCATCAATGCATTATTGTTTATTGAGTTTCCGGAGGTGGATGCACGAGTAATTCTAGATCTCATAATTTCACCTATTGTCTGATTTAGATCCTTATCTCCGTTAGGAAGGGTTTGCTCATTACCTGAAGTCATATCTTCCTATAAATAATAAAATATTTCAGTCAACTATTATACAAGAAAAAAAATTCTAAGTCAGTCACATATATACAATTTAAGTAATTAGGAACTCAATCATTGCTCAACATAATATCATCAATCAATATTTACAAACCAAAAGTATATTATTAACATTTAACTTTTTAGTTCATACATATATCTGAGTATATGGGTTTATATATACATATTTTCTACCAAAATGTCCTACATAAACCAAAAGAGTGACTATGAAAACCCATATACTGATATTACAAAATTGCCCTAACAGTTATGCTCTATTTCCCTGAAGAAGAGCTGCTGGAACTAGACTTCTCCTCAGTTGGTTCAGTCTCCTCTGAGTCTTGGTTATCAACAGAATTGGACATTGGATCTGGATCTATGCCGCTAGTCCCCCATCCTTCAAGGTCAAGATCTGGACCAATGCCTAGGCTACTCGACTCACCCACAGAGGGGGCAAGTCTCTGGTCATCACTAGGAATCTGGGCTACAATGGACTCCATGTCAGAGGGGTCGGATGAAATCAAAATGATTTCTGAAGGTGATGACTCAACTGGAACCACTTCTACCACGAGATCCTCATCCTCTGTATAATCAAGCTCAGACTCTGATGAATTTATCATAACAACTTCTACGGGCTCGACCCCCGTTGAGTCTGGGGTCATATGATTAGACATTATTAGGTTTGGATCAGTTTCATCAGAAGTGTATCCCCAGTCTCTTAAGCTGGGTTCCCAAGAGCTATCTACAGAAATCATAGGGTTGGACAGGGTAGACGACGAACTGGAAGATGAATTGGTTCCCGCCATCCTACAAAAGGGGAACCATCCATCAGCTTACTGAAGAAAAAGGACAAAGTAAAATAAACATCTAAG